ATGATGCTGATACTCCGAGATGATCATGTGCCCACGATCAGTCGTTGGTCTTCAAATAGCGGTTGGCTGTAACCTTTAAACTTTGTAAGTTATTGGTGCAAAATGGACCAGAGAAGACTCCGGCGGGCAGCTGGTTCCAGACGGGGAAAATTGCGCGAGGGTAGGCTCGACACAGGTTGTTTCGGGAAGGGACTGGAAGTTCATTTACCAGTTGGTGTGCGTGGGTGGGTCTTCAAAACGTACTACGGGTGGAGTGGACTGTTTGGGATTGGGGCTGTGAGGTGGCAACATCTTCTGTAGAAGGCGGTGTGCATCTGGACAATGCATATTGTACAGGAGGCAAAGGTAGGGTCCCTCACCGATTAGGCGATGGCCACCCTGTTGAATGAGGCGAGCCAGTTTTTTTTTGTGCACGGGCGGACAAAGCACTTGTAGATCACACAATGACACCTGGAGTCCAGCACTCGAGACGGATTCCGGAGGAAGCCGAGTTGCTGCGATCCTCGAATAGCCAACTTGGAAACATATACCAGATCTCTTCCAGACATTGGACTTACGAGCACGTTCGAGGTGACGCAAGTAACTCATTATCGTTTTCCAGGCTAATGAAGGTAAGGAAAAAAGTTGACAGGACAAACCTCCAGCTCTTCAACAACATTCTGAAAACTAATAGTTTCGCGAGTAAACTTCTGTACCTTCTCCTCAGGTGATATACAAGCAAGAGCAAACAAGAACAAATGCAATGAATTATGAACTTGGATGGTGAGCCAATTATTATTGGTAAAAAAGGAGAAGGACATAATGTTACGAGTTATGACTAACTGTCCATCAACCACCATTTTGTCGCACTCGATGACTGTATAAGATCTGGTTACGTTGGTGGACAGTTAGCCATAACTCGTAACAATTTGTCCTTCTCCTTTTTCACCATAATTTAATTGGCCCACCATCCGAGTCCAACTTTGCACACCTTATGAGCCGTCATGACCTATACGGCGAAACGTACGTTGTGTGGAACAACTTGTTATGGCACATAACTAGTCTATCATATTTACATGATGCAGTGTAGTGAAGTTCAGTAGAATGTTGACATTTCGGTTTGTCACAATTCGTCTTCGCTTAGCTTCCCCTTTCTTTGTTTACTACATAAACTTGAGCCTCCCAAGTTGGGTGGTTTGTTGCGTCGTCGAGTTTTAGTAAGGCCGGTATGTGCAATAGTCTTACTAGTTTCGTCATAATCCACTAACGTTTGGCATTCTTTGTTGCCGTGGCGCTTACCTCGTGCTCTTCTTCGTTGCGCTTTCCTTCCCCTCTTGGACCTTTGCGAACCTGAGCCTTCCAAGTTGGGAGGTTGTTGGTTTGTGCGCCTTGGAGAAGTGTTGGAGGTAGGCCTCAGTTCGCCGAATGTCTGAGTACTCCTTGTCCGTTTTGTGCCATTTTTGCCGCAACTCTGCTATGATAGTTGCTTGGACTTCAATGTACATAACCAAGAGTGGCTCCACAGTAGCAGAACAACTAGAGGTGTCGAGCATGCAGAGGACATGTGCTATATGCACAGTGTTTAACAGCTAGTCGACCAACCACCGCACAGCTGCAACACACTGGACCAGATGATGTCCGTCCTACACAAAGAATAATTGGTTTCTGTGGAGTGCTATGTGCAGTAAACGCAGGCGGCCACGCGCTGAGAGAGCATTACGTGCGTGTTAACTACAGTTAACACGCGCTGAGAGATCGTTACGTGCGTGTTAACTACAGTTAATACTACGCCTCAACTGAGATTTTTAAAACTTATTGGTTGTGATTCGGCTGACAACCCTCTAGAGGTTACCCTGCGTACGTGCCTGGAAGGTGGAGAAGATGATGTCACCATCAACCATTGTGATCAGACATGCCAATGATGCAGAGTAAGTGGTCAACATTGACCTTATGAAGCTAGACTCAGCTCCTGTAGTACCAGACACTGCGGATGTCCACAGCGCTCAGCCGAGCCCTGCCGAGAGTGACAGTGAGAGTGACACTAGTGATAGTGGAGCCTGGGGCCTGAAATTTGACGGCGGATGCAGTGACTCAGTACCAATGCGATATTGTTCTGGAGTATTGGCGTCTGGAGGGAAAGTTGTAATAGATTGACCAAGCAACTGTCGACGCCACCTCATCTATCTATCTCTCTCTCTCTATCTATCTATCTCTATCTCTCTGTCTATTCCTTTCTTTATATTAAGCACATTTACTGTTGATCACTACGTACCAATTATTGTTAGGCTTTGTATTATTAATTCGCGCTGTGGTCGTGACGTTCTTCCTTTTTCCAGTATTATTTTGCGTGCACATGATGATGTAGGTCGCCATTGTGTCTGTGTGATGTTGGTTCGCAAGCCGTTATCCTTTTTCTCTAGCTCTTTTAGTTTTATATATAGAGGCCGAGTTTTCCGCATCTGTAAGAACGCCATGACCTTCAAGGATCAAGGCGCAGATGCAGCTGCAGTTTTATTTCTTCTTGTGCAAAACCAAGTAACTAGCCCAATGTCGAGTGGGCAGTGAGTGTTGCATGTTGGCCAGTGTAGACAGGGTAGTTGACAACAACACCAACCATAATGACATTGCTCTTGTATGTGCATGACTGCTTACTTTCACTTTCTTTTTTTTTGGTGCCATACATGCAACATCAACATATTTTTTTGCTTCTATACCAGGCAGGCACAGTGGGTTGTCAAAGACCATGATTGAGATACGAGAGGTACCTGGTTCAAGTCCTGCCTGGGAGCGGTTTTTCCAGCCGTGCTGCTACCCACAGTCAACTGGGAACTTGTGGCCAGGCACAAGGGGTACATGGATGCAGCTAATAGGGTCGTTCTCGGCACTTGTGCCAGTGGTTGTGAGACTTATCCACTCACCCCCACCGTTAGGCGCTGCATCTGCCGCTAGGGTTTATCGGGTGTTAGCGGCCGTCGTGAGTTCCCTTCGGGAACGGATACGATAATTTACTTCTTTTTTTCATGCTAGGTTTTACACTCCATTTCTCTAATAAAATCGTCTTCCATACGGTAGATTGGGAAGTTTAGCTCTGCTCTTTCTAACCGGCATTGGCTTCACTTGTTCCTGCTCATTACAAGTCAGCTATGGCTCCTCATAAGCCAGCTGCTGTCCATTGCTTGGTATTTCACTTCACAACTATTGTAAGTGTATTGCGGGTATTCGCGAGCTAGTTCCAGGCAGCAGTGTAGCGTTGCATTCAAGCTTGTTGAACATTTGCATGGCAATACAAGTTACTCAAAGCAGCACACTATCTCCACCAAAGGTCGTTTTTGTCTGTGATAAGCTCGAAGGCATTAGGGATAGGGTAAGAACTTACTACCTCCGCTAAGCTTCATTGCGTTTTTGGTGTTCTTGTCATGATATTTCTGTCGGTATTAGACATACATGTCAGTGATCTATCCCCTACGTAGGGTAGCCGAGTTGTCGTCCATTGTTCTGACAGGCTTTTGAACCTCCAAAAAGCGTGGAGTCCTTTAAAAAATAATCGGCGAAGCAGAACCGTTTCTCGACAGGATGTCACCAGAACACAACCCCAGGCGTGCGCGCATGACACCAAAGTACGAAAGTGAGAAACAGTTTGAAATACCGCTGGCTCGAAGAAGTATCCAGGAGCCGGCCAGCGCTCAGGCACTGCTGTACTAGCACGAGTTGATGGTGCGCATCCGCACACAACCAAAATCAATGCACTTTTGGTTGCAGCGCAGGGGAAATCAAAAATGTTCGATATTCATGTTGTCATGCAGTCGGCGCAAAATCCTGATCTCAACCTCGACGACTTGGCGTTCTTCCACAGCCTGTAGACAGCCGTGTCACTCGTGGCGAAGGAAACCTAAAAGGAGCTTCTGCAGGGTGTGGAAACGTTCTGGCACGAATACACCCCTACGAAGATGGGGAGAGTGTGTTGGGGTCTGTATGGCTCCTTCCATGGCGTTCCGGAGAGAGGCCACAACTACCAGCGCCACCGTGGAGGTCATCAAGCTCACAGTTCGAGCGAAGAACTTGGCAATCTCCACGATCAAATCGTGTCTTGGCAATTTGTAAATGCTGCGGTACAAAAGCTGGCAGCGCTGGAGGTGAAAGTCAGTGAGGATCTGGACTCGATGTCATCAGTGAGTGTAAGTCGTCATCAAAGAGTGAAGCTGGACGGCTTTGAAACGAGCTGTGTGTCATCTGTAATTATATATCTTTCATATTCTGCTTTTTTCCACTTTGCAAAGCGTGTTCGTAGCCATGGAATGATTTGGACTGAACTGTAAAAACGCAACGAAGTTTTGCTTAACGGAGGAAGTAATATAAAAGAAGCCTCCAAAATACGCCCAATCCTCTGCTACAACGACAGGCAATTCAAAAGCACAGCGAGGATGCCTGCAATGAACAAAAAACTGGTGCAACATTGGCATACCCGAGTGTTCTCCCCATGTGGGTTGGTAGATTGGTTTTGTTCAGGAAAAGAAAGTACGCCACTGGAAATTGAACCAACCAAGTTTGGCTGAGACTTCTTCATGCAGATTTACACAAACCACCATTATTGTACGGGTTACGCACAAAGACATGACTGATTGTGCTGTCCAACTATCTTACCTGCCACTGGAAGTGTAACATTGTGCAGGTGTACAAAGTGCCAAAGAATTCCAATCTAGTAGCCGGTTGCTTTACAGAACCATAATTGTGTTCAGTGCGATTTCACATGAAAACATACACCAAATCTCATCAAGACACTGGACTTATAAGTATTTTTGAGGTGACCCAAGGAACTCAATAGTGTTGTCTAGGCTGTTGAAGATAGTGAAAACTGTTGTTCTCCTTTGAAAATGTTTTCCAATTGTGCATGTATTATTGTGCGTACAACAGATGAACATGAGACCTGATACACATGCACCGGACCTCACTATGAACACCCATATAATCTGTGTTTTCTGTTCATACAGTAACAAGGATGCACCAGGGATATCCTGACTTACATTATTCTTTGGTTCCAACGAATGTCCAGAATTAAGTAGATATTCTGCTACGGAAACATGACTACTCCATGTTGCATAGTGTAATGGTGTCGCACCAATCTGGAAGTAGCATTGTTAATGAATACAAACCAAGTACACACAAACACACATAAACATACACAAATACATACATACACAAGCCGATTCCCAAACACATAAAAATACGCATATGCATGAACACACACACACAAACACACACACACACACACACACACACACACACACACACACACACATACACACACACATGAACATGCACACATAGACACACACACACACACACACACAAATACATACACACACAACCATGCATGCGCAAAAACACACACACAGGAACAAACAAACACAGTTAATGAGTAAAGGTAACACCGGCAATGGCATAGGGAGTTCTGGATCATTGTCAATGAAGATTTCTTTGGGAATTAATGAACAATTTCTTTGGACACAAGAATACAATTTTCACTAGTATACTTTCATGCCTGATCATCAGGTGAAATACAGGCAAAATCTAATGAACATGGCATGGCTCATGTTGTGTGTAAGTGTGTGTGCTCGTGCATGTCCACGAATGTTGAGCACACACACGCAGGCGTACACACGTGTGTGCGCGCATGAGAGCATGCCGTTTACTTTGCATATGCATGCTACTGCAGGTGTGCGTATGTGACGTATTTGTGTGGGCAAGGGGTACTTGTTTGTGAGTGTGAGTATGTCTCTCTTTCTCTCTCTCTTTCTCTCACTCTCTCTCTCTCTCACTCTTTCTCTCTCTCTCTCACTCTCTCTCTCTCTCTCTCTCTCTCTTTCTCGCTCTCTCTCACTCTCTCTCTATTACTTTCTTGATATCGAACGTATTTACTATTGATCACTACATATCAATTTGTTTGGATGAGAGAGTGACGCCTCTCAGCCATGGTGGTTCTGTTCTTGAACCCTATGGCCTATGTCTTTCGCTAATGAGCAGGTGGGTTTGAGGACCCGCAGTATTCTGAGTAGCAGTCGTAGAAACAAGAGTAGCTTGTTTCACGTCGGAACTTTCAATGTTCGTGGACTAAATTCAAATTTGAAAAAGAATCAACTTATTTGTGACCTAACAAGATATGGAGCTGAACTCTGCTGCCTGCAAGAGACGAAAATCTCTCAGGGCTTCGATGGAATTATTGATAATTATCGACTCCTGTGTCTTTCGTCGACCTCTCGACACTATGGACTTGGATTCGCCGTAAAAATAAGTTTACTGCCCCGAATTCACAGATACTGGAGTATCTCTGACCGGATCGCTGTGCTGCAGCTATGGCTATCCGATAGAACTCTGTGCTCGTTTATCAACGTTTATGCACCAACATCTGGACGCGTTGCGGAGGACCCTGCCTGTCTGGATGAATTCTACAACAGTTTATTGGAGACAATTCAGAAGCTTCGATCATCAGCCATGCTTTTCGTGATAGGTGATTTCAATGCAAAAGTTGGAAAACGTTCCGTTACAGCTACGGGGAGACATGATTTGTCGTGCTGCGGAGCACACTCAAGAGGCCGCCGCAATTACAGTGGACAGGTTCTGACTGACTTTGCGTCGGACAACCACCTGTTTGCTTGCAACACTGCATTCCAACACCGTGCGGCACATATCACAACATGGACAGGATGGCGTCACAACCCAGACGGTGGTTCAGCAATACCCATATACAACCAGATCGATTATATATTCTGTCGGAATAGTGAGCGTTCTGTGGTGGAAGATGCGAGGTCATATGCGGGGACAAAGATGGAGAGTGACCACCGCCTTGTCCTCGCTAAAGTCAACCTGACCAATCTTTACAAGAAATTGAATGCGCCATGCATATCAAGGGAGACCAATGACAAATTCAGTGTATCTGAATTCAGTGACTTGAGCAAGAGGGAGGCATACCAAGCGGCAATCGAGCGGGGTCTGGAATTGACATGCCGTGAGATGGACAACATGGGTGTTGAGGAGCATGCCCGGAAGATCACCGGCATTATGAAGGAGTCAGCTGCATCATCCATTGGCATAGTACCAAAAAGAAGAAAAGTACATACAAATGGCTATAACAATGCCATTGAACAGCTAGCCGAGAAAAAACGCAAGTTACGTTTGGATCTCACTAACTGCAAAGACGCTGGGAAGATTTCTGAGATGAAGCAAGAACGCAATCGCATTTCACACCAGATTCGGCGGGAATGCCTCAAGATGGCATCGAGCAGGCTTGATGAACGAGTGGGAGAAATAGGAAGAATAAAGAATGACGCAAAGATGTTCAAAGCAACCCAGCTACTCCGTCGTCAGAAACAATCACCGGTTATCGTTGAGGATGCTGAAGGCAAAATTATATCTCAACCTGCGGAATCGGTGGAAGCGGTCAAGGAACACTTCAGAACTATATTCTGCGACCAGGCACTAGCAACAACTATGTTGGAGAGGAGTGAAATGCCACTGAACCGATCCATAACGACTGAGGAGGTGTCCAAGGCTGCAAAACGTTTAAATAACGGCAGAGCATCCGGCCCCGATGGAATCCCGGCTGAGCTCCTGAAGTATGGGACGCAATCACTGCATGGTAACATAGCCACATTATTCAATAATTACGCTAAAGATCAACGCATCCAGCTTGGTGATGGTATATTGGTCCCGTTGCCGAAACCGGGCAAGAAGAGAGGTCCTCCTGCAAATTTGCGGCCAGTCACCCTTCTAAATACACTACGCAAGCTACTGTCTCTAATCGTATTGACGCGTATTAAGCCGGCAGTTGATCAATACCTCTCGCCCTGCCAGAGCGGATTTCGCAGCGGGAGAAGTACAGCGGATGCTGTGTACTCCTACAGATGGTTGGCAGCAAGATGCCAAAGAGTAAAGGAAGATATCGCCATTTTGGGAATTGATATGTCGAAAGCCTTTGACACTATTTCAAGACCAAAGCTCATGAACGTGCTGGAGACTATTGTGAACCGGGACGAATTACATCTTATTCAGTGCTTACTTACGGATACCACCATTAAAGTACGGCTAAACAACATCCTGAGCCAGCCACTTGAAACATACAATGGGACTCCACAGGGAGATTCTCTGTCGCCGGTATTGTTTACGATATACCTGGAAGCTGCGTTAAGAGAAGTACGAAACCGTCTACCGCCGCGACCAGACCGAGACGTCCAGCTGCTTCTGCCCGGAGAGTCGGAATATGCAGATGATGTGGACTTCATCAGTACCGACCAACAGTATCTAAAAGATTGCCTTCCTACAATATCCTCTTCGTTAGCAGAGTGGAACTTGAAGATGAATGAGGGGAAGACGGAACACACCATGATAAGCAGACAAAAGGATCGAATAGAGGAACAGTGGCGACACACAATAAAGCTGGGCTCGATGCTTGGAGTGGATGAGGACATAGGCAGACGAAAGCGGTTGGCTACAAGCGCACTTCACCGGATGTGGGTGATATGGCTGAGAGGGCAACACATCAGAGAGTCTCTACGAGTGCGCCTCTATAATAGCTTCATTCTACCAATCCTGCTTTATAACTGTGGCACGTGGAGTCTCACGGGGACACAGGAGCGGAAATTGGACTCGTTCCACAGGCAGCAGCTGCGAACAGTGATAGGCATTAAATACCCGCTCATAATAAAGAACACTTCCCTGTATAAACGCACAGAATCTCGTCCCGTGAGCCAAATCATCAGAGATGCTAGATGGAGGCTGTTTGGTCATGTGCTGCGTTTGGAAGAGGCAGCCCCAGCCAGACGTGCCATGGGAGCTTACTTCTTAGGGGGTAACGGCCCCAGCTTTAGGGGACGCCCAAGAACAACGCTCCCGCGAACGCTCAATAATGATCTCAAAAAGCTGAAAAATAATACCGCCCTAGAGACTGGCGATGACTTGAACATGCTGCAGCAGCTTGCCCAAGACCGTCGACAGTGGCGGGAACTGGTGAAGGCTGTATGTAGCTGCTAATGAAACAATGGACATAATTTATACCTTTATATAAAGATAATGGAGATGACGGCAACAGGCTGCAGCAGCTCGCCCAGGATCGCCCTCAGTGGCAGGACCTGGTGAAGGTTGTATGTAGCCGCTAATGCAACAATGGACATAACTTTGCGTTTCCATCTTGTCTTTTTTGTGATTGTGATGCTTGATGTGCACTGTGCTTCCTCGCATTCACTTGCTCCTTCTTGCAGCTTGTCTCTTTTTTTTCTGTTTTTTTGTTTTTTGTTTTGTTTTGACGCTCTGTGTGCATTGCGCTTCCTCGCGCTCACTTGCTCCTTCTTGCGGCTTAAGCGAAGGCTATATGTGAGCTTTATAAGCTCACTGATGCTAACGCGAATAGAGCATAATAATAATAATAAATAATAATAATAACATATCAATTCTTGTTGAGCTTTGTATTATTAATCCGCCCTCTGCTCGTGACGTTCATCCATTTTCCAGTATTTTTTTTCTAGTATTATTGTGAGTGCACACGATGACGTAGGTCTCCATGTTGTCCATGTGATCTTGGTGCGCGAGCCTTGATCTTTTTTCTCTTGCCCTTTTAGTTTTAGTTCTTCTTGTGCAAAAGCAAGTAATTGGTCCAATGTCGAGTGGGATGTGAGTGTTGGCAAAGAATTTCCGTTTGTCCATGGCAGGCAAGGACCTGAAGGTGAATGAATGCCTTGATAGGATCCGGGCACTGCGAACAGCAACCGACACCAGAGTTGGTGCAGTGTCCGCAGCTGCCACATTTGTGCAAGACAGTGTTGCCACGCTATCACCGCAGCTTTGCTACCATTTTGGAGAACCGGGCCACTTCAAAAGGCATTGCCCGAAGTTATCCCTAGCAGAGAATGGTACAAAACAAGAGCACCGGCGCAAGGACCTGTTCTGCCACTTCTGTGACAAGAAAGGGCATGTCAAGAAGGACTGCGTGCTGAGACAAAAGTGGCTGGATACACATGGTAGCTGCTAAGTTGATGGGGCCTTAGTCTACTCCAAGGGCGTGTGCCTCCTGGCATCTGCATCATCGTCGTGCCCGAAGCTACCTCGTGTGTTTGTTGAATGTGCTGGTCCT